TAAGATTTGCTCCCTTGTGAATGGTTATCGTTCTCCATGGGATGCGCTTTACTCCACAACCCTCCCCGCCACTTCCATCTTCATTTCTTTTTCTTAGATTTTTTTAATTTTTTCTCAAAATTAGAATTTTCAGTTTGTTATTGACCGTTGAGCTAACCTTGCCGCACCCCACGATCCTACCTGGTACGTTTTATTTGCATTTTAATTTCTTGTTGAATTTCAATCTGAAAAATTTAACCTTCTCTAATTTAATTTTAACACCTGTGCTTGATTATTGTTTTGAATTTATTTTATCGCTAGTTTTGTTTGTGGATTTATTTATTTGTGTTTTGGGCGTGTTTTTCAGTTATGAAATGAGGTTGAAAGTGATTGAGATTTTGCATAAATGGGTTTGGGATCTGTGAGAGTTAAGTATGTTGTTCATTATTTTTGAGAGAATTTCAATTTTGGGATAACCCACATGAGAGAATCTTGAACATTGAAAAATTGTACCTGTGTGATGGGAACTAGAAGTAAAGTGAGAGACTTACTTTACAAAGCAAGTTAAATGGGTGTTCATTGTTGTGATTATGCTTAATTTGATCATTTTTAAGCTCTTCTGGCAGATAAGTTCAGTTCTTTAGTATGAACTGTGATTGGGCTTGGCATTGAGCTTCATACTTACTTCTACTGAATGGAATATATCTGTTTTTGTATTTTTGAGAAGGCATTTTGATTAGAAGTGCTGTTTCTATCAAGATACAGAACTGGTCCCCTCCAATGTTATCTGCGCTACAATGTATTTGATCCATTTTCCATGAGAATATCTGCTTTATCAGTTAATAGATTTCAGAGCAAAAATGTGAAGGATATTAACATATAAGCATACACATATTGAGTATTTTAGTAAGCTAATGCCCTATATTTGTAGATAAGTCAGTTCCGTGATTGTATACTAAGCTGATATTGTTATCATATCATCTGCTTATCTTTCAGGTTTAAACATCTGCATACCAGTTCTGCGATTATTACTGAGGACAGAATGTCAGAAGGAACCAGTCTGGTGCTGGAATCATCTGAAAATGGCACAGATTTGTCTCAGGATGACATTGGCACTATTGAGGAGACACCAGAGGAAACAATTTTGTCAAGACAAACATCTGTCAATCTGGTTCCTTTTATTGGTCAAAGATTTGTTTCTCAAGAAGCTGCCTATGAATTTTACTGCAGTTTTGCTAAACAATGTGGCTTTTCTATTAGACGACACCGCACTCGAGGGAAAGATGGGGTTGGCCGGGGAGTTACAAGGAGGGATTTTACTTGTCATCGAGGTGGATATCCCCAGATTAAACCTTCTGATGATGGGAAGGTGCAAAGGAACCGCAAATCGTCTCGCTGTGGTTGCCAAGCATACATGCGTATTGTGAAAAGGGCAGATTTTGATGTCCCTGAATGGCGTGTTACTGGTTTTAGGAACATCCACAATCATGAGTTGTTAAAATCCAATGAGGTGCGTCTTCTTCCTTCATATTGTCCTATATCGCCCGATGACAAGAGTCGTATATGCATGTTTGCTAAAGCTGGAATGTCAGTAAGGCAAATGCTAAGATTGATGGAGCTAGAGAAAGGCATCAAACTTGGTTGTCTTCCTTTTACAGAGATAGATGTAAGAAACTTGTTGCAGTCTTTCAGAAATGTGGATAGAGATAATGATGCTATTGATTTGATTGCTATGTGCAAGAGATTGAAGGATGAAAACCATAATTTCAAGTATGAATTCAAGATAGATAGCAATAACAGGCTTGAGCATATTGCATGGTCTTATAGCTCATCCATTCAGTCGTACGAGGCATTTGGAGATGCTGTGGTTTTTGATACAACCTACCGAGTAGATGCTTATGACATGCTGTTAGGAATTTGGCTTGGCGTGGACAATAATGGAATGACTTGTTTCTTTAGTTGTGCTCTTCTAAGGGATGAAAACATGCAGTCTTTTTCATGGGCCCTAAAGGTAAAAACCTTATGACTTCAACTTGAGAATTTGTAATTGATTTCTTGATTGCCTGCTATCTATTGTAAGCTTACATTGCTATGCCAAACAAATCATGCTAGCTTTTGATGAAGTTTTGCAAAATAAAATCTGATGGTATTTTTCTTATTATACAAATATCCATTACTTTTTCAGGGAGTGCATATAATGAATATTAGGTTTTGGTGACATGTGCCCTTAGGGCATAAGTTAGGGATTATAAATAGCATCTATTCTCATCCCTAAATTATCCTAATTACTTAAAGAAGAAAGCATTAAATGCTGTTTGGATTTTCAATGTAAGAACCTGAACATGTGCTCTAACGAATCCTGTTCTGAATATTAAAGCAGCAAAAATTGGTATGTAGTTGTTCTTTTCAATGTGTGATCCCTGACTTAGGTATTTGAGTTTTTTCCTTGATAGAATAGTAATAATGACCACATACAATCCATTGAGCGATGCATTTGTGAGCATTTTTATTCAGCAATTTTCCTTTACATGATATTTACGAGATCCGATTCATTTTGAGTTTTTGATTTCAATTTAATTGACGTTTATGCAGGCTTTCTTGGGTTTCATGAAAGGAAAGGCTCCACAAACAATATTAACTGATCATAACATGTGGCTTAAAGAGGCTATAGCTGTTGAAATGCCTGAAACTAAACATGGCTTTTGTGTATGGCATATTCTTTCCAAGTTCTCTGACTGGTTTTCTTTACTTCTTGGATCGCAATATGATGAGTGGAAAGCTGAGTTTCATCGGCTCTACAATTTGGAACTGGTGGAAGATTTTGAAGAAGGATGGAGGCAAATGGTTGATAAATACGGACTCCATGCAAATAAACATATTATTAGTCTATATTCATTAAAGACATTTTGGTCTTTACCATTCTTGAGGCGTTACTTCTTTGCAGGATTGACCAGTACATGTCAATCCGAGTCCATTAATGTTTTCATCCAACGGTTCTTGAGTGCTCAATCTCAACTAGATCGTTTTGTGGAACAAGTCTGTGATATACAATTTGTTTCCTTTTTTTTTTTTTCTATTAATTAATATGCTATGTCATATTTAAATATCATCTTTTACAGGTGGCTGATGTTGTTGATTTTAATGACCGTGCTGGAGCAAAGCAAAAGATGCAAAGGAAACTGCAGAAAGTGTGCCTCAAAACAGGTTCACCTATTGAATCCCATGCTGCCACTGTACTCACTCCTTATGCCTTAAGTAAACTCCAGGAAGAGCTAGTTTTGGCACCACAATACGCATCCTTTCTGGTCGATGAAGGTTGTTTCCAAGTTAGACACCACTCTCAGACAGACGGAGGGTGCAAAGTATTGTGGGTTCCTTGTCAAGAGCACATTAGCTGCAGCTGTCATCTATTTGAGTTTTCTGGCATCTTATGTAGACATGTGCTACGCGTCTTGTCAACTAATAACTGTTTTCACATTCCTGATCAATATTTACCAGCCCGTTGGCGAGGCATCAATTCATTTTCTGTTAATCACTTCAGAGGTACAACTAGCAGGGATCAGCCTGAAAGGATACAATTTTTGGAATCCATGGTTTCTACACTTATAATGGAGTCCATTGAAACTGAGGAACGCCTTGATGTCGCTTGCGAGCAAATTTCCTTGGCGCTATCACGTATCAAAACCCTTCCTAGGTCCACACATGGGGTAAATGACATTGCATATAGTTATCCATCAGATTCATTGATCCTGCCAGAGGTAGAAGATACTGACGGAATGATTCATGGCTTTACAATTGCAAATCCCCATGATTCTATCAGTTTAGGAAAACTAAAGGAGAGAAGGGTGAGAGATGGAATTGATCTCACTAGGAAGCGTAGGCAATTCTCAGCACCATTGTGTACGCAATATGGACATGATGCTTCTGATTGCTCAATAATGGCAGGTGACAATATGAGTGGAGATGCATTAGGGTACTTATAGAGTGAGTGGAAGTAGTACGGACGTACAAAGTAAATGCATTTTTTCTTGGGGGTACATAAATGCATTTTTTTTACAATTTCAGATGCATGTTGTAATGCACATTTTTTATTTTTTCCTTTGCCCAATTCAGTAATTCACACGTTGTCTTTCCCTCTTTACATGAGCAAAGGTTTCACTCCTATTTGCATCACTTTTATGATCATTGAGAATTTTGATTTAACCACATAAATAATTATTTTTATTGAACTTTTTTGTGCATGTGAAGTTGATTTCTTTTTGGAGTTTCTGCCTGCAATCATAATGATTGGTACATTAAAAGTTGTAGTTGTTGATGTGGTACAAGACGAATATGTATGTTTTAAACATATGAAGGATCGATAACTAGGGCTGTAACAAAATTTCTGTGCTCATTTATGACAATTGGAGTCTTTCTTGAACTTAATCGCGCCTTTTGTTTACCGATGCCATGTCAAGTAGAGGGGTAGATATCAAAGACACATTTATGTAAGAGGGAGGGAACTCGGTCATAAAGATGAGAGGATTTGACCATTCAATTTTATATAATTGATAACAGAAAGAATTTTACTTAAACTTAATTTTTATTATTTGTTTAAGATTAAATATTTGGGATCACTTTCATCCTATATTTTTATAAGCACCAAGAAAAAACACAACATATGGATGAAACCAGAACTGATGTATGACCAGGCCACAAAATCATTAAGATACGTTTGGCACACTTGAATCAATATTTTAAAAGTCGGAATTGAAAAAAGAAATAGAAGTACAAGTTGAAGGGGTGTCTTGAGTGTTTCTTTATTAAAAAAAAAAACTTGATTGTGTAATTTTTAAAAAATATAATTTAAATTTGGCCCCCAACAAATAATATTTTTCTTTTTGGAGTCCCTAACAAATTGTGTAGCTCGGTCCTGTAAAAGAATACACATTCTCATAGAACACTAGTAACGAATTCATTATTCATCCAGTAAATGATCAGTAGTAGTAATATATTATTAACTATTTTACAAAATTTGCTGATCATTTGTACATATCCGAGAGTCTCACTGCCACTCAATTTGTTTTCAAATGAATTCTGATTATTATTGCTACAAACATATCTAGAACTTGTATATTTACATTCCATGCCATCATAAGGTAGCATGTTGGATACTTATCTCATATTTCAGCAAGGAATTATCCATTTTTGGCAGCTAGTAACATACCTAAGACTTATTCTGCAGAATCTTCTCCCAGAGAAACTTTACTTAGCCTGCTTGGCAATGATTTGGCACTGTTATTTGCAGTTTTTCTTCTCCCATTTTTGCGTAGATGAGACCTCAAGAGAGCTCTCCTTGCTAATTCTTTCCCCATATTGGATTTGGTTGTGCCATTTGTGGTAGGAATTTCTTCTGAAATGATTCCTTGGTTGCTATTGGTGTCAAGTTCCTTAGAAGAGGCCTTCTCTGAAGCCATGATATTGAAATTTGAACATCAAATTAAGATGATCAAGAAGGGTAGCTAGCTAGGATAGTGAGATAGATATCGAAGAAGGATGATTAAAACATGGTAGTAGGGGTCACATTTTAAGGTGGTCTTCATAAGCACTTTCCACTTATCATGCATCACACGCAAGAGAATATGTGTTGGATGGTAGCAAGGTTAATGGGGTGCACAAAGAATCACTTGCAAAAGTTCATGACTCGTGGAATAAACAAGTTTGTGCTGTCTTGTGTGTGAAGAAACTAAGTTCAATAATTGGACGTGGCATTGGCTATGCGGTCATTTATGAAACAAGCCTTTTGCTGTATAGACTACACATATATAGAAGATGCTTTTAGAGATCTTTTTTCTTGTTTGGTTACAGCTTACACTCAGATCCTTTAATCTTGCACTTTATGGTAGCAAGAATAAAAGGACTAATCATCATAATGGTCGCAATCTCAAGTGTCAAATTAAGGCTGCTTTATACAAATAGAGAGGAGTATTAAAAATCCACTCTCTAATATACTCTCATTTATTGACTTAAATTTTAATAAAAATAAATATATAAATAAGTGAAAATTATTCTATTAAAAATAAAATTGATATACTTTTGTAACTTTTAATAAATAATAAAATGCTTTGTTATGATATTTTTTACTAAATAAAATGATAAGAATTGTCCGAAAGTAAATGCTTTGTTATTTTCATTAAATAATGATGATAATAAAATATATATTTAAATTTTGAAGTTAATTACAGAATTCGGGTGCTTTTGACCTTGAGTGTTTTGCCACAAAATTTATCCATGGGTTACGTTAAAAAGTACGTACTTAGTTCCACTAAAGTATAGATTGTACTTTAAATTTTGTAAGGTGCGCAGAAGAATAATTGACAAATAAAATCATAATAAACTACAAGTATTTATATGCAGATTAAAAAACAAGTACATATATAATAAATTACAAAGTTATAAAAAGTTTAATCATTGATTTTCTGGTCAATGATTATCGTTTCATATTTTAGCTCTTAAAATACATCTTGCACTTTAAAAACTACCCAACTATGCTTGTGATTTTCATTAATTAGTAATCCTAGTATATAAATAGGGGTTAATCTTTCCGAGTGTTCTCTAAATATGACACTCCAAGCTTGACATTCTCTCATAGATTCTACTTTCCTATATATAACTTGTATTAAAATGAATCTACGTTTTAGTAATCCAAACACATATCACAAAATGTCTCTACCTGATTCTCACCAGCATCTGCCATCTCCCAGCATCTCATTTTATAAAAGTGATATTATTAAAATCACCATATATTTTAATTTAAATTTGTAAAACATAATGTTTTACTTTCTTATTTTATAAAATAATCACTTTAGAAAAGCCTTATCTAAAACAGAGATAAGAGGTTTGGTACGTACAACCACCATGATTGGGTTCAATAATTTCAGTTAGATAACTAATTTTTAATTTAGAAAGAAAGAGTCGTAAAATTTGATAGAATGAAACCAACGAGTGTTACCAAAGGCTATTTGTTTGGTATATTTAGACAAAGTGTCATGACACAGATTGCATTTTGGCCATTAAAGATAAGGTTTGGAAATGCCCAGTACAAAAATGTTGGGACAACTATGAAATGCATTTTAAAAATTCTTGTGGAGAATAATTATTAGGTTGGATCTCACGATTTTATTCAAAATTGTTTAAAATAAATTTAAATTGTATAATCTTGTTTTAGATTAGTTTATTACCTTTTGATGAGTCTTTTTCCTTCTTTTTTTTTAAATCTTGGACAAATTAAAAGGGAAGAATATTATATTGATTGAAATAGAAAAGCTGATTAGGTAAGCACCAAGTAGTTGTATGATTTGTAAACTTACTTTTGCCATTAAAAAATGAATAAAATGTTTTAAAAGAGTTAATGATTAAACATATAAAATATAAAAGTCTAGCATGCAAAACATAAGGATTAAAAAATGAAAACATATATATATATTTTCTATTTGGAAAGACAAACCAACAAGAGCACCATCGTTAAGACCGACATCATGCTTCCATTTGTCCATTTCACTCATTTGGTGGTGTCTATTGGTGGCTATTTTTGTCCCTCTCAGTCTCTCGTGTACGTTTTCCACCTCAGAATAGCACTTTTTGGAACTTTGTTGTTATGCTAAGCACTTAACCTTTAAAAGACTTCAACCAAGAATATTAAGCTCTAGAGAAGAATAACAACCGTTCATCTTACAATGCTTTGCCCCAAGTCAGAAGCAGAGAATTCATTCCCTTTCTAATTAACACTTTTTGATTCCTTTTCTTTTTCCGTGGCTCTCTCTTAGAAAGACTTGTTCACCAAGCATTTTCTACTTCACCATTAAAGGGTCAACTTTATTTTCTCCTTTCTTTTGAAAGAAATTATTATCATCACAAATGGATATAATCATATGAGCATAATTGAAGTTTTTTTTTTTTTTTTCATTTTTCCTATGTAGCCACTAAAGGGGTCCCTTCTTTGACATAAGTTTAAGGGCAAATTCAAGTTCAACCCCACATGCATATAATATATATAGTAGTACATTATGCAAGAACTATACAACTTTTTTGCTAATATTTGAAAAAATAAAAACTGAATTAACTGAAAGGTAGGATGCACTTTGGGAGTGAATGAACATAATGTACACGTGTTTGCTGTGTGATGACTCATGAGCACTAGCTTAGTCTTCATCATCCAATACACTTCAAACAAAAACCTACGGTGCTAATTAACAATTGCCTTTGTGGGACTACTTAGTATTAAATCCCACACAGTGAGAATCTTTGGCCTTTAAGCAACCTTTGCTCCAAGCAATTCTGAAAACTCTTCCTTCCTTTTCCCAATTCTTCCCTTCAGAACTTAAAAATTCCATTTCCTCTCTTGTTCTCCCTTAACAATTGTATCTCTCTTGAGCTCAAAAAAAGAGGGAAAAAAAAAAAAACATGCCACAGAGAATGGCAGTGACACATGCAGATCTCGAACCAAGCCGAAGTAAAACAGATTTGAGTAGCAAAACAGGTGCATTCCTTATGGTTCTTACTATCTTAATAGGCCTCTTATGCTTCATCTTATGTCTCATAGCAGAAGCCACACGTTCTGAGGTACATGTTTCATATGTTTACAGATTACAATCCCATTCATGTAGGAGAAAAATGAAGTTCTCGTGATGTTTTATATACCCTTAAGTTAAACCACGTTTCAGCGTGAAAGCTTTAACGTATAATGTTGGAATAGATCTATGTTTAAGTGTATTTAACGCTAATCCAAACATGCTAATAATCTGGTGGGTGATATGGCATTGGCAGGTGACATGGATGGACACAGGTGGAAAAGACAAAGGAATAAAATCAGAATGTGTTTACAGTGGGAGTGGAAAAGTGCCATTGCTATGTGCTGCTTCTGCTTTTGTTGGACTAGCATTTGCCATGATCATGGAACATACTTACATGCTGATAGCAGTGAGTAAATCATCACCTTCTTTGCTTAGCTGGGATCCTGATTCTCCTTCTGCCAAGTCCTTAACATGGCAGGCAGGGTTTTTCTTCATTGCAACTTGGTAAGAAAAAGACATTTTTTGTTCTCCTTTTCTCTCCATGTTTGCCTGTTAATTTCAGAATGTTTTTCCAAATTAGAATTGAAAGTTTTGGCTAGTAGTTGTTCCAATCCAACCAATTATGTGCTGTGACGATTCACCCTCAACAACAATGTTCAATAGTGCAGTGGACCAAATTGATTTAATATTAGATAGAAATAATTGAGATAGAGAAGAAGAAAGGGAGGGAAAAAAGGGGATTCTGGAGGAAAGAGGATCAAAGAGAAGAACAAACATAGGTTGATTCCATGGTCCCATCATTGGACAATTATTTGAACTATTAATTTCATACATAAATCTTCTTAATAGGAACATTCTTCAAACTTATATTATTAGGAAAGGAGCATTAACTTTGAAGCTAAAATATTTTTAATTTAAAATAGGAAAATCCTGATTTAGACTCCTGCTTATATTAATCATCTGGAATAATAGCAGTCCTCTTAACAACAAACCGATAATTCTGATTCTAATACCCTTGTTTAAAAATAATACATCTCTATATGTTCAAATACTATAACCCAAACTCCCATATTTCCAGAACAAAAGAAAAATCACCAGTTTCCAAAATCCAAACTACTCCTCTTGTATTGCTTCCAATTCCAATTCATTGTCAAAATTCAATCATCACCTGCTTATGAAAATAAGCATGAATATCCAAGTAAGACTTGTTGTGTGTTGTAGGATATGTTTTGCAGTTGCGGAGATTTTGTTACTGGCAGCACTTAGTGTAGAATCAGGCCATCTGAAGAATTGGTCAAAGCCTAGAACAGGTTGCTATAGCATCAGAGAAGGGTTGTTTTCTGCTGCTGGGGTGTTTGCTTTAACCACAGTTTTTCTTGCTGCTGGTTTATACCTAACAGCACTACGAGCTCAAAGAGTGTCAGAGCAATTAGCAAATGTTAGAAGAGAGGTTCTTGAAGCCTCTGCCTTGTATGCTTCTCCACCAAGATCACCTCAACCACAACATATCTCAACTGTTGCAAGGGAGAACCCCTCAACCAGAGAGAGTCAAAATGAGCTTCTATTATCTGTATTTCCAACTCCATTCATCAAAAGCTATAACCTTGTATAAATCAAGAAAAACTTTATTTTGCGTCTTTGCTTAAAAGCCATTGGGAAAGTGGAGTGAGGAGAAACGTTTTTATAGTTTTACACCACTAAAGGGTTGAAATTTATTTGATTGTGTATATAACTAATCAATATGTGTCACCAAAGAAAATGAAAAAGCTTATCCATATGATTGGCTAGGTACTTCTAACTTCGACCTTGTTGACAGTATTGTTGGCAGAGTATTTTAAGTACAAAAACGAGGTACAGTGTTTTAGGTTAATATTGTCAAATTAGAATTTTATCTATCTAATTTGTATAATAAAAATTCGATACTTAAATTTTATCTTTTTAAAGAATCAAATTACTTTACTCCATTTCATACTTTTCTTCCATTTTTTCTAAATAAAAAGTGACATGCAATAATAATAATAACTACTAACAACAGAGTATTACTTTTTAACCTTGTGACTATTACTTAGGAGGACTAGGAAGGTTAATACAGTGCTCTTGCTTATTTTAAGCACGATTGCAGTCTTTTTGGGTTAATGCTTAGGGAACGCAGTAGCTACTGGTTAAATAATCTTCCATAAAGAAGATACTGTATAATTTTTCTATTTGAATTCTATCATATTAATGAAATTATTAAAAATTAATATTATATAAAATATCATATTTGTTTTTATCTTTCATTCAATTTTTTACCTATACACGAATATAAAAAATACATCTCAGTTATAAGAGGACACTTGAAAGTGTCTCCAAAAGAGGTAAAAACAAATTTTTTTTATTTCAATTTTAAATTTATCAAATTTAAAAAGTTAAATTAGAGATGATAAATTAAAATTCTAATATAAAATATTTTTTGTTCAAAATTTTGAAGACTGTAAACAAATTAAATTAAATTTATCATATTTACGTTGATAACAGTACTTTTCAAGCTCTCATGCATTAAAAATAATATGAATTCTCATTATGTGATCTATAAAAATTTAGTTTAAGCTTTGTATCTTGATTTGTTTGTCATGTTCAATAAATATAAACTACTTTCAACAGAAATGATAAAGTATACATATATTTTTGTTAATACCTTTCTAATTTATTGTTCTTACTGAAACCTCTACTGTTCATTCATTCATTTTGTAACACTTTATTTACTTTCTTATTTTTAGTGTTTTAATATGTTGCATCAGTTGCCATATAGTATTACTACATAATTGTTTTATAAATTTTTTAAGATGATGATCCTACCTATGGTATAGGGGCACCATCAATGAGAGTTAGCCTAGAGTTATCAACTTAGCATTTCTTTAAGCATAAGTCTAAAGAATTTGATATTCATAACAATGCATGCTTACTTGGCTAATGCGCAGATTCATCAAAGCTTAATAAGAGAATATGAAATTTGATGAAGTTTGGCATTAAACACGAGCTACTTAATACATAAGCCTGCAAAAACTATCGTTGTCTCTTAATTTGCTTTTATTGGGTAACTATGAAGAGTTTAGGCAAGATAAAAGCTACAAGAATTGACCAAGTCAATTCTCATTTTAATTTGAAGAATTAAAAAAAAAATTGTTCTGTGGTTTGCATGTTGAAGTTTCTCAAAGATCCCTGGCTAATGAACAATCATCCTATTGGATAATAAAAGGCTTCATGATTATGAGTTAATTATGAAGTAATTATGTGCTTAGTCACTTTAAATTTTAAGTTGTTGTCAATAGTTGTTTCAGTGAGATGCTACTGTTAGTTGTTTGAAGGACAAGATGTTAGCCAAATAAATGTTTGATATAATGAATAAGAATGTTATGTGATGTGTCAACATTCTTAAATGTTTTTTAAACTATTGGAATGATCTTAAATGTTAAATACGTTAGAAAAAATGATTTACAATAAGAAAGAAATAAAAAATTAAACAAAAGATAAAAATATATTAATTAAAATAGTAACAAAAGATTATTTACGAGAAGAATAATATGACCTATATAATTAATTATTTTTATTTAATATAATTAATTTTTATATTTTTGACACAATATTCCTTTACAACTATTATATAGCATGAATTTGATTAGAGACAAAGCCAATAAAAGAAAAAAAAGAAACATAATATACTTCCTAATGGTTTTTTTTTTCTCTCATTTGGAAAAACAACAAAAAAAAGGAAAACGCACTTTGATGAAAAAATTGTTCCTGATTTTGGTTTAATTTATTTTCTTATAGAATTCAAATATCATTTGAAATAATTTCATTATTTTAACCAAACAAACGAAGGAAAACTCCATTTTTCATTTTTCTTTTTTTTTATAAAAATTTAAATCTCTATTTCTTTCACATATTCAAACAAAGCAAAAGAAGCATACGAATAAAGATGATATATGGACTGATAATAAATATAAAGGATATTCTTTCTTACAAAAGACAAAACTACCTTTTGAATTTATTCTTACACAATATGTATAAGGATTTAAGGTTTAAAGTTATCAAAAGGATGCAACGTTAAAATCCCTGTATTGCCTTATAAAACAAATATTAGATTATATTGGTCAAAAAAGCTAAGAACATGATGCTTCGCAGTTTTATATTTCTATCTAATCTAATCTAATAATTAATTATTTGAGGCCCTGTCCAAAAGTTCATATTTTATTTTACTTTTTATATGATAGTTGATAATCATGGGTAATAATCGATTATCTAGAGATATATTTGGTGAAATGACTACGGCCTATTTGAGTTTAACAATTAATTATTTTATGGTTCAATTTTCACCTTACTAAATAGTTTGATAATCAATTACTGATATTGTATAATTGATTACAGAGAGTTCTAAATTATTCTCAAAGGTTTCAATAATCGATTATCAGTCTAAATAACCAAATAATTCATCATTTGAATGGAAAAAAGAGAAAAAAAATGAATAATCATGCAAATTATTTGTTAAAGCATCAAATTGCTTAAGTTGTGCATTAACTATCAAACACGGTGTTGTTCTTCATGTGTACTTCCTTCCATTACATATGTTGGATGGCCTCCAAATGATAAAACAAACATAATACATGATGTGTAATCCTAGCATAATTCACCATACAAGTTTCTTTCTTTCTGCTTCGTTTAAATAATTGTTTTAACCGTACAAATATTGAGTGTGTTGCATGTGCTTTATAATATTCAAATAAAATATTGAAAGGCATATATAAAAGAGATGTTACCTAGTGATTCAGTATTGTGGATAAATTATTAAATATTGATTGAATTTGAAATTATGCTAATATAATTGAAAGTTAATAGAATATTTATAATTAACTTTGAGTTTGAATATCATTTTGAGGCAATAATAGTATTATTTTGAGATGGTGGCTTATGATAGTTTATATAATTACAAGGTTGTAACTTGCAATGGAGTATGAGTGTTCTTGCAAAAAATATTCACCCAAGTGAGTAAAAATTTTGGTAGAATATGGTAAAAGTGAAAATGCATAATTTGAAGGAATTGATATCTTCCTTTTATAGGCGTAGGTATAGATTGATTAGGTGAGAACTTCATTCATGTGATGTCATGTCATTTTGTGGTGTCATGGGATTAAAAAAGAACTTGTGAGATATTAAGTTAGCAAAGATCATGCTCATGTAGAGGTTGTTAGGTTTAGGTATAATTTTGATATAAGTTAAGGGTATATTAATATATGGACAAGGTGATTAATTTACTTTTAGATGAACATTTCTTCTTGATAAGAATGATCATAACGGGATTTGATCTGATAGAGACTCATTTAACCTAAGTTTGATCCAAAAAGATTGCTTTGTAGTCTAAATTTGAGTTTGAATTTTTCTTGTTTAAGAAAAGAAATACATGTTCAAATTCGAGTGTTCTAACATCTGTCCCACCCTTGAATCCACCTTGTTTTATATATATATATAAGATTGAGATTAATTATAAGAATCAATTTTAAAATGTCAAAATATGTTCAAATTTGAGGAGGGATGAGTTTTTGTTTGTGTTTTCAAGACAAAGTTTGTCCTTAACCTACCCATTGCCAATATTAGTCATGGGCCACAGTTTGGATTTTGCCTTGAGTATTGTATTAGGGCCATTTGCGATCGATGGTTTAATCGGATTAAATACACAAATAAATAAAGAGTATAAATAATGTCATCGAAAAGAGTTTAAAATTGAAAAAAGAAAAATTATTCTATTTTTTCTTTTTCTGAAATGATGACGATTATTACTTTTTAAAAAAGTATTGTAACAAATAAAACGAATCTTTAAGTATAAGTATAAAAAGAGGTAGACTTATCGAGCATGTTCCCCTACGCAATATCCCCACCAATCTTTTGGTAATAATACTTAGGAAAAAGGAAAGTAATGATAACTCTAAATTATATTTGTAGTCTACAATTCAAATTCATTTTAATCAAAAAACAAAGTTTAAGTGAATTTAACAAAGAAAATTTGTTTAAACAAATTTTTTTTTATTTAAATGAATTTAGAAAAAAAAGTAATTTTTATTTTAAGTTAAAATATTTGTTTAATCTAAAATTACAAAAAATTTTAAATATTTTCTTAGAAAATGAAAAGTAATAGAAACTACAATATCTCGTAAACAAATAAGTTTATCAATATTTCGTTAGTTTTATTATATCTTCAAATCATAAGTAAAGATTATTATACTATAAAATTATCGTTTTTATAATATTATTATTTTTAATAATTTAATTAAATTTAAAATTATTATACTTTATCAATACTTAATATAAGTGACTTATTAAATAATATATTTAAAATATTTAATGCAATAATATATGTAAAAGTCTTTGATTATTAAGTAAATATTGATAATTTTTTTAATATATTTAAAAAAATAATTTCAGTTTAAAAAAATTTATTTTTTATAAAATTTACTGAAGTAAATTATTTTAGCTTTAAGAAAAAAATCACTTTTATTTTATTTAATTCACTTAAATAATTTTTTTTACTTAAAGTAAATTTGAACTGCTGGCTATATTTCACGTCAAAATTTGCAGTGTTCAAATTAAAAAAATACACCACTGCTCGAAATCAAAGTTCAAATTTCATGGCATTATTTATTTTTATACAAATGATCAAATATAGAAAAGATATGGTTGAAATTGGATATTCTTGGAATACACATCCAATTTCAGCGAAAGATGGTTATGATTGAAGTGAGGATCCATTGCTACGGAACCGTAACCCGTTCGCATAAAATCGGTTCGATCCAAGCAAAAGGAAAAAGAAAAAGAAAAAGAAAAACTCCAATCATCAAATTTGAAAACACCTTCATAAACTACCCCCAAAAAAAAAAAAAAAACCTTCATTATTGTGAAACCCACGGGCCCATACTCGACCCGAAAGGTAAGATCCGAGATCCAAACCCACAACCACCACTACACGCAATGCAACACAACCCCACGTACCACACCGCTATTTAAATTTCCTCCAAATATCAGAAAAACCACATCCCTTTAATTCTCAATCGAAAATCTAGGGTTTTTCTTCCACTTCCGATTCCTCGGATCTTCGATTAGTGCTAGGGTTAGTGTTATAGTTCACGAAACGATGTCGTTGAGGCCCAATGCTAGGACGGAGGTTCGCCGCAACCGCTACAAGGTGGCCGTGGACGCCGACGAGGGTCGCCGGAGGCGGGAGGACAACATGGTGGAGATCCGCAAGAGCAAGCGCGAAGAGAGTCTCCAGAAGAAGCGCCGCGAAGGCCTCCAAGCTCAGCAGCAGTTCCCCACTCCTCTTCAAGCCTCCTCCATTGTCGAGAAAAAGGTATCGCTATCGCAATCGCAATCGCAATCGCCATCGCTTCTTCTCACTTTTTGGTGAAAATTAGGGCTCGATCGTGATCTTTTGCTCTGCGATTCTGATATTTGAAATCGCGTCGTTGTGATTCAACTTATGGATCGATTGGGATTTTGGATGTTAGGTTCTGTGGTAGTTAGGTAGTTATGAAAACGGTTATAACGGTTGTTTTTGTTTGTTTTTGCAGTTAGAGAGTCTTCCTGCCATGGTTGCTGGAGTCTGGTCTGATGATAATAGCCAGCAGCTGGAAGCTACTACTCAATTTCGGAAACTGCTTTCGATTGGTTTGGGTTCTATTTGATGTTATTAACGAAATTGTCTTGTTGCTTTGATTTTTTGCGTGTTAACGTTATTTTGTGTGCCGTGTTTTTTCTGTAGAACGCAGCCCTCCTATTGAGGAAGTTATTCAAGCTGGTGTTGTGCCTCGATTTGTCGAGTTTCTTGTTAGAGAGGATTTCCCTCAACTTCAGGTTTGGATTTTTTCGTTGTGTTTGTTGAAACTTGTGCGTGGAGTAGTGGAAATTTGTTTTGTTGATTAATTTTTTATGTGACCTGTTGCTTGTTTAGTTTGAGGCTGCATGGGCTCTCACAAACATAGCATCTGGAACTTCTGAGAACACTAAGGTGGTAATTGATCATGGGGCAGTCCCGATATTTGTGAAGCTACTTAGTTCACCCAGTGATGATGTTCGGGAGCAGGTATAATGATACTATAATGTGGCAGTTCTGGCATTTATTATTATTATTATTATTATTATTATTATTATTATTATTATTTTAAATATTTAGTGAACACTCCTGGATTCTAAAACTCTTAAAATCTAGGCTGTGTGGGCACTGGGAAACGTTGCTGGTGACTCCCCTAGGTGCCGTGATCTTGTTCTCAGTCATGGCGCCCTGATCCCATTGTTAGCCCAGTTGAATGAGCATGCAAAACTTTCAATGCTCAGGAATGCCACATGGACCCTGTCAAACTTTTGCAGGGGCAAGCCACAGCCACCATTTGAACAGGTAATTACCTATTTGTTTTAATTTAAATCAAACCTCTGAAAGAGATTTTGTTTGCATATTAAAATGAGAATTTTGATGGGCAGGTGAGACCAGCGCTTCCAGCTCTTGAGCGTTTGGTTTTTTCCAATGATGAAGAGGTTTTAACAGATGCATGCTGGGCACTGTCATATCTTTCTGATGGAACAAATGACAAAATCCAAGCAGTTATTGAGGCAGGTGTTTGTGGCAGATTGGTGCAGCTCCTTCTGTGAGTATTAAATCTACTATATCTGGTTAACCAAGATTCTGTTGTTTAATTTTCTTGTCTTGGCCCTGAATGTATATGCTTGTTTTGAAGGCACCCTTCCCCATCAGTGTTGATACCTGCTCTTCGCACAGTGGGAAATATTGTGACTGGAGATGATATTCAGACTCAGGTAATCACTTGTAAACTGTTGTAATAATTACTTGGTATCTGTCTTTAATATTCAAGTTCGTGTTATGTAAGTAATCTGGAAAAAATTAAATTAAAAAATTGACGTTACTTAACCCCAAATTCTTAATAGGTTAATTTTGCATGTCTAATATAATTAAGTAGCAAAAACACTGATGCTATAATATGAGGGTAGTGGAACTGTGTACTTAAAATTTTTTTAGAATTAATTAACTTGATAACTTTGCTATGGAGTGTGGACCTCGTGGTGAGTGACTTGGGTTTGATGTTGCAGTTGGTCTTTGTAATGCCAGTTTGTTTAAAGATAGAAAACTCCGTTGGTACACATCCCAATGGGAGGTTATGTGAGGAGTTAAAATTTTTTGATAGAACTCCGTTTCAGCTTCTATCTAATTAACCCTGTAGTTGGAATTGACTACAGCCATAAAATCTTTTTAGAGGGGGTGGGAGAATAGAGGGGGAGATTTGGGAAGAGTTAAAATTTATACATTGATAGTCATTGCATCCACCAAAGAATTCAATTTGAATCTCTCTCATGGCTTTAGCACTTGCACATGCCAGTGAGACAGCACTACTACATACCATGAATTTAGTATCTTGTTCTTCCTTTATGTTTTGTACATGTGTCACTAGCGAGAATTTCCTGATTTTGGTGCAACTGTTTACATTAGGCTATTATCAATCATGGTGCACTCCCATGCCTCTTGAGCCTGTTGACACATAATCATAAAAAAAGTATCAAGAAAGAAGCTTGCTGGACCATATCAAACATTACAGCTGGAAACAAAGAACAGATACAGGTAAGCCAGTAAATCTCAATTATATGATTCTCGATGTTAAATTTTGTCTTCAATCAAGTCTACTACTGGCTATTGCTTGATTTTTTATGTTTATCTTTTTTGAAGTTTGATGTTTTGGTATCTGCATGCATATTAAATTGAGTTTCTCAATGAAAATGTTCCTTTTGCATTTGATAATAGACTGCTAGATATAGTTTAACATGGAGATGTGTTGCAACAATAATAAACTTAGAAATGCCCTAGTTCTCAGATTACACCAACTGGGAAAGTTTGGAATGATGATGGATGTATTCTCAACCCTTCCCCCAAGAGATTTCTGGCATATTTTGGGGTCATGTTGTGTTGTTTCATTAGAATAAGAATTAGAGTAACAGCTAACTGTAAGCCCTTGAAGTTAGACTCAAACTGGATTGGCTGAAACTGATTTTGTTTGTTTCATATGATAAATTTTTTAATTTGCAATTTGTTGCAAGTACATTGCCAAAGAGAGTCTTTTGTCTTTCTGGATATATTCTGTTTGGGATCTTGACTATGTTCTGTTTGCATTTTATTGCACTTGTACAGGAAAAGATTTTGATTGGGTTATTCTTTCCACAGAAGTTTTCTGAACTTTTTTACAATTTTTATATGATGTAGGCTGTAATCGAAGCTGGTCTGATTGCTCCCCTTGTCAATCTTCTTCAAAATGCTGAGTTTGACATTAAAAAAGAGGCAGCTTGGGCTATCTCAAATGCTACATCTGGTGGAACCCACGAGCAGATCAAGTATGTGAATTTTTATTTTATTTTTTTGACTCTGCTTTGTTATGATAAAAGTTGGTAAATATTGAGAATTTGTTATTGATTCCTTGTATGTGGTTTTAAGGTATTTGGTGAGCCAGGGTTGCATTAAGCCTCTCTGTGATCTGCTTGTTTGCCCCGACCCAAGAATTGTGACTGTCTGTTTAGAAGGTCTTGAGAATATTCTGAAGGTTGGGGAAGCTGAGAAGAGCTTGGGTAACTCTGGAGATGTCAACTTGTATGCTCAGATGATAGATGATGCTGAGGGGTTGGAGAAAATAGAAAACCTGCAAAGTCACGACAACAATGAAATATATGAGAAGGCTGTTAAAATTCTTGAGACATACTGGTTGGAAGATGAAGATGAGACACTACCATCAGGTGATGGTGCACAACCTGGTTTTAATTTTGGAAGCAACGACCTTCCAGTCCCGTCTGGTGGATTCAACTTCAGTTGAAGACTTGTGATGAGTGGGTAAATTCAACTTATCTCATTTTTGTTTATCTTTGTGATCATAATTTTCACTCAGTTAGTTATATAAATTTCACTGTTCTCTAAACAAATTGGTTTCAATAATTGTAGGAACCTGTTTGGATGAGCAGGGTTGATGCTAGGGTGACTGTTGGAGTCGAGTCGGGGTGGGGGGGGGGGGGTCAGTCCATGCACTTCATGGTGTCTGGTTTAAGTCTGTCTTGTGTCCGTGGTTAATGAGGTGCAGGGGTGGGTCAGTTTAACTACCATGTCCAAATAAGAGAGGGGGCTGGTGGGTTCAACAGCAGCATATTGACCTTGTCAGCAGTTTATGTTGTATTAGAAATGTACATGCTGGGCAGGAGTAGCAGGAGGTTCTATGTTGCAGTAACAGGGACCCGTATTATGTGGCAATTGGGGGAGGGTTTTCTTGAATGCGGCTTTGAGTCCTATTTTTTATTGAGTCGTCGTTGTATTGGTAATTTATACCGAGTCAGTATTTGATTTGAGTGAATACGGTATTCAGAAACCAATTTTATGGTGTATTCAAATGAAAGAATTAGCGCTATTCTTGTGCTTGCATACAGTTTTTTGCTTCTGAAGCTTTTCTACTCCCACTACTATTATTAATTTCCTTCCCTCCCCAATTCACATCAATGCCTGGAATGCGTAGCGTCAATTAACCTCGATAAGATTATATACATCGTCTGTCTTATTCCATCAGGCGAATTAACAGATTAGATAGAGGGAAAAAAATCAATTTATTGAGGTTGTGGATTTTAGTTTTTATATTTTTTAAATACCTTGTTTGTCTATTATTTGTCATGGTTTTATATACATGCATGGTTAGATACTGGCCGAAATCTGTTTGAGTTATGCTTCCAAATTCTTACCTATATTGGCTCCATGACCGATACTCCTGCCTGAAGACGAGAGCTACCGAACCAGTAGAGTTGCGGTCACCCCAATGAAAAAGAGAATGGGGTGTTCAGTGTAATGAAGGGTCAAAGTATGTCCTTTATATTAATTCCTTTTGGAAAGAAAAGGTAAAATCTTCCCATAAGTAACTTTGGTACCATCCTTGAGGTATCAGCCACAATGAGCATGCTTGAAATTAGTATAAATAACATTGACGGGTCCATGGTTCAATTTTTGGAGGTCCCTTCATTCTTCCCCGTCTCCAAGGAGAGTAGGAAGCATCCTTCTTGAGCCCCCAAAGTATTGCTAGCTTTCTTCTTCATTTCTCGTTTTGTTTGACATATTTTTGTTGTTTTGCTAATTCTCTACTGATTTCTATATCATTTTCTGCGTTATGAGCTCCACTTGTGCTCCGCATTTGTTTCACGTATTATTTTACATGATCGTGTTCTTGAATCATAAACTACGGGTTTATTATTAAAAATAAGGAATTATTCTTTTTTCCGCTGGCAATTTTTATGTTCTTTTCTTCCTTCTTCAGAGGCTGATTTCTTTCTCCAAATTCACACTTGTAATTAGTAGTTTGGACTAACTATTAACAAGGAGATATTTCAAATAATTCTATCCAACTGCTTATTCAGGAATATTTGAAGTTATTATCTCACCTGGGGTTGACCTTATATATGATGTCTTATTTTTCTGGAGCTTAATTGTTAAGTTTAATTCCACTTTGATTCTCATATGGTAACTGATGTGATTTTAATTTTTATCATTTTAATCGCACACATTTTATTATTTTTTTTCTTAATTATTTAAATCAAGTTTCTTACTCCAAAATTTTATCCAACAAGTAACAAAAACATTAAGATAATGCAATATATGATTAATTTATACAAACTTATGAAAAAATAATTAAATAAAAATAAAAATGTTATTTTAATTTAGTATTTTAATTTAAAAATTATATATTTACTAATTTATATAAATCAATAGTATATCACATTTCTATTATAGTTTTTAAAATTATTAGAAAATTTTGAATTAAAAAATTAATTTGAATAATTAAAAAAAAATACAGTCAATTAAAACTAAAACCCTACAGTTGGATGTTAGAAGGGGGCTTCACAAGTTCTGTCAAGGATGGAGACCCTCTTCGTGCAGAACTCTTAGCTATAGTAGGTGAATTATCTTTTAGCTAGAAGACAGGGTTTAGATTCGTTCAGTGCGAATCTGATTGTCTAGAAGCGGTGAAAGTTATTAAATGAAATCACAATGAAATGGACAGATTTCACCAACACAAAAATATCATTCGATCCATTAAGAATATGGTAAATAGAGATTGATAGGTTATGTTTATTCAATTTATTTATATTCCACGTGAATCTAATGTTGTTGCTCACATGTTAGCTACTTGAGGTGCCGAGAACTCAATACAATATGTAACATAGAAGAGTCTTCTAGATTTTATTTTACAAGCTGTTGGTGAAACCTCTGTATCCTTAGTTAGTTTCTTCCTATTTTTCTTGTCTATGATTTCCTTATAATACAAAAAAAAAAAAAAAAAAAAAAACTAAAACCGTATAAACGGTAAAATTGTGGTGGGCCGAAAGTATTGGAAACACATAAGTCCAGTTTGAGTCCTTAATCGCAATGCCTAGTCCTGAATACATGACCCATAAAGATAAATCAGTTTTGGATATTCCTGCAGTGTTTAACGATTTGCGCATCTTCCCAAGTCGCAACAATAAAACATTAGCAAATTATAAGGATAAATAAAATCCCACAAGTATTTTTATTATTTCAATGTATAAACTATATGTTATGTACCAAAACGTTTGTCTACACTGCATGGATGAAACAATAAACCAAGTATGTTGCGAATATAAGGATTAAATCGCAATGCAACAAAATTTTGAGATTAGTTATGTGTGTGTATGGAGAAGATAAGAGAGTTTCAATCGATTTGAATCTTCAAATTGAATTCTCAATGTGTTATAGTTTATTTTAATGTATGGTTATAGTTATTAAATATATTTTATGCATGCTATTATCACGTCGATCGCTTGATTATAAATTACAATACAAGGAGCGGAAGCTATAAAAAAAGATGTTCTAATTGATCACATCATTTATTACACTAAATTGTATAATAGTAGCATTTTTGTATGCTTTATTGACAATTGCAAATTTTTTTACAATTGCCAATTGCTGTTTTTTCTTCACACCACTTGTGAACAGAAAAACTTCAAATGGTGAGAAAAATTCACCATAAAATTATGGATTTGGATCGCCTGCAGTTTTTTGTGAAAATTGTAAGTTGCAGTTTCCTGTTCACTTAAGCGAAATTTTGGTAAAAAGTGATTTGCTAAAACAAATTCGCTTAAGTTAGAAAAATTTGCTTAAGCGAAAGTGAAAATATACTGCAGTATCTTCTTTTTCCTGCATATTTTCGCTGAAGCAAATCATATTCGCTTAAACGAAAATACGTAGGAAGAAGAAGATACTTCTTTTTTTAAGTTACTTCAGTTTCTTTTTTCTCTTCTTCCAATCCAGTCACCTTCTTCTTCCCTCCCTCTCACTTAGTTTCTTTCTTTTTTCCCCTTTCCTATCTTTTCTTCCTTCAACCCTACCCAATCTTCTTCCTCCTCTCTCCTCATCTAGCTCTCCTTCCCTCCCAACCCCTTCACCCCCACTCATCCCCCTCTCCTCCTCTCCTCATCTAGCCCTTTTTCCTTTTCCTTATTAGTCTTCTTTTGCTCCCTTGTGCTCTTGCTTTCATCTTTGATCTCCCTCTCAGCCTCACTTTCTCTCTTCTTCTTTTGGTTTTTTTGCTACTTTTTCTAAATTCGCTTAAGTGAATTTTTCTGGCTTAAACAAAAATTGGCTTAAGCGAATTTGTTTTAGCTTAAGCTAAAATTATTTTTTACCAAAATTCACTTAAACAAATTTTTTTTGCTTAAACGAATACAAAACTGCAGCCTACAGTTCCTGCCAAAACTGCAGGTGATTCGAATCCTAAAATTATAAGATTACACTAAGTGATATATCAATTTATGATGGCTATTAAAACTTAAGAAATTGTGTGTGTTTCATTTTTTATTTCATGAATCTTCACGTGAACTTATAAATTTCAATATATTATAGTAAAGAATAAATAATGTATTTAAAAAATGTTACCAAATATATTCACAGCATTTTTAATAATAATAAAATATTTAAATATAATATTTTAAAGTTTTCTTTTGTTATTAATAAAAATTAAAATTTTGACTTTGACCTTTAATATTATATTTTATTGTATGAATTATTTAGATAAAACCGTTTGAATTAAACAAGAATATCAAGAACTCCAAAATACTACAGTTGAAATTATTTCAAGTTTAATCTTTAAAGTTTTTTAAACTAATTAAATTCTTTTATTTTTAACATTATGAAACTATAATCTTATCATTGATATTTTCTTTCTATAAAACCTTCACAATCTTATTCTTATTCAATTTTTTAAAAATTAAATTAATTAAATTTTATAAATTTAAATTTATTGTAACTATCAAATTTGTCGGAATAGATGACAGATCCATTTAATTTGAAATTGTATATGAGAATTTGACTAAATGGAAATAATTTTTATTGATACTGAGTATTAAGAATACAGAAAGTAGTTTTATATTTATCTGCTGGGTTAATATATATATATATATATATTCACAGGCTCTTGTTTAATCTTGGCTCTTGTTTAATCTTAGGACTTTTATTTTTAATTTATTCTGATTCAACCACATGAACTTTATAAATATAAACTCAGTTTTACCAATATTTTTTTATTGGGGATATTAAGGAAATAACAATATTTTTATATTAAGAATATTCACTGTATAAAAAATATGAAATGTATTCAATATTTTTTACTAATTACATATTTAACACTTCTTAGTCATTATTTTTAAAATACTAATTAGTAAAACCAATATAAATTTATAAAACATTGAACTTATTATTTACTTGGTCAGTGTTCCGATAAACATAGAGTATGTAACTAATGTAAAACTTTAGACTCTTTTTCTTTTATACAAGTGTTAGTTTATTCTTGAGTTGAGGTTTCATTCATGTACATGAACACGAACTCTTAGATTTATTAGTAACAGGTTTGTCAAATGTGATTTGATATTTTTATCAGCTTTTATGCGATCATACCCTTTGATTTGTGTGGGGAACCGAAGAAAGCATATTACAATGATGATTAATTACACTCATGAAAACTACTTATCTACTAATTGGAGCACACAGTCTCAACGTAGGACAAATTTATCTTGAACCAAAAATGTTAAATGTAAATATAGTATTGGTCGACGATTTCCACAAGGTTGTTTGGCCCGATGGCGATAATCCACCCAGAATCATTGGTGTCAGAAAACAGAGCTGCCATGGCCAGACCATTCCCACACCACCCGAAGACTCTAATCTCATATGGATACAGTAATTATCCTAATTCTTAGCCTTCAAACCATACCATGAAACTTGTGTCTCACATTATCCTTTGTGGTTACGTTTACCCAACAATCCTAGATTGCCTTGTCATCATGATATCAACCAAATGCCTCTCATTACTTACACGTGTTGTTATTATTACTATTATTGTAATAAATACTTCTTTATTTTGAGGATAAAATAAAAAAAAAAGTTGAAAGTTTAATTATTTATTCATGTAAGATATAATATTTAACGTGATCAATATGCATTAATATTTTAACTACTACTCTAAACCTTTATGTAAAATTAAATCTACACCAAGTTTAATGCATGCATAAAAATGAAAGAATTGAGACAGTGGAAGGATTTGATTCATTTATATATTTATTAAAAAAAATTCTTATATACCAAAAAATAATCCTTCTCTTACAAAGGAGAGAAGTGATTTATTGAACCTACGAGTGTGCATTTAAAAACGTGCTTTTGTTAAAGGTGATAATATAAAGATAGAGATGAAACTTTGAGAAACTAGAGGAGACCCCGTTACGTGGTAAGACGCTCCCCTCCCGCGTTGGGTGGACCAAGATAAGAAAAATAAAATAAAAAAGAAGCAAACAATCCTTTACCAATTATTAATTAATTAACGTGCCCACAAAAAAAATTGAAGGAACATGACGAATGTCCAATGGATCAAAGAACATTGAACAAAGACCCTACCCTCCCTCTGCAATTAAATTAACTCACAACTTCAACTTGGTACCAGATGGAGATGCATGGTTTTAATGGACACCATTGAAATCAACAACTCCAGAAATTGAATCAAGTTCCTACCCATGCTAGCTTCACTCTCCCTCTCCATCATTACTATCTTTTATCAACCACATGGGAACAACTTCAATTCCTCCTCCACAACGTGCCCTATTTATTAGCCCTACCCTCAATTATTCTTTATTGCACAACAAAACTCAATTTACGTTACATAACATTAAAGTAAATTAAGAAACAAAGTAAATGGGAACAAAAAAGTACTTCCTTTTTTTCATACTAACCAATATCATAAGGCTACATACAATTAAATTATAAATTGTCAACAAATTGTAGATCAACCTACATTTACCATTATAAATTCAGAAGAAAAAAAAAAAAGGAGAATTGCACAAGTTTTCACATTCCCACAGTGGCAAAAAGGGAAATAAGCACACTGTCTTTGCACTGATCTCACTCTCATTTTCCCTGCCAACTTCAAGATCTGCCAATTTGTGCACTTATTCCCATCATTTTTTTTTCTTTCTATCAAAGCAACATAATAAAAGGTAACAACGAAAATGCAAAGATCAATGAGCCCCTCAACGGCGAAGGAGCCGCCGTGGACGGTGGTGGCGGAGGAGTGTGGTAGTAGAAAGGAAAATACGGCACAATTGGGTTCGGCGGCGGCGGGGTTGGATAGTTCCTATTCGGTGGCGGGTAATACATGCCGCCGATACCTCCGCCGGTGGACGACGGCGGCGGCGGCGATGAGTAGGTATACTGAGAGGGAGGTGGGGGAGAAGAGTAATAGTAAGTGCCACCACCGCCGGAGCTCGGAGGAGAAGGAGGTGGAGGGCAGCTGCCGGTGGAAGCTGGTGGCGGAGACGGCGGCGGAGGAGAGGGTGGCGGTGGTGAGGAAACTTGGGCGCAGGGAGTGCACTTCACATCATCCTTGGAGGTAGTTTTTAGGTTGCGATCTGCCAATGCTATTGCAAGAACATTGAAAGAAAGCATCATAATAAAAAAACAACGCATTCTCTGAAGCGTTACCATTTTCTGAAGGATCCGAAAAATGGGGTTGTTTGCTTAGAAAAGAAGGATGTAATGGGAGAAGAAACAGTGAAGAGAAAGAAAAAGTGGGAAAGTGTGCGTTGCTATTTGAGGTGTGATGTGGTTTTGGAGCAGTATACTCTTATCTTATGATGCTACATTAGGCCTTGCACCCTTTTATTTGTTTATTTATATAATATAATATAATTTGAAGAAAATAAAAAAAGTAAAAAAGAAAGGTGAAAAGGGAATAATCAGAAGACACCGACACGTTTTTTTCTTTAACAGAAAGCAGCCATGTTTGAACGAGAAATGGTAGTGGAGGTTAATTTAACTGTCAAACACAGTCAAGTGTAGTTCTTCCTTTTACTGTTCTACGTTTTTTACTTTATCACTTGCAGCGTTTTGCTTCTTTTTAGTAAGTGAGGTTGCATTTCGGTTAGGAGAGTGTGAGTCAGCTAGAGTGACACTCTGACACCCACATTCGTTTATTTGATTAGAAGTTGGAGATTAAATATTTTAGGTATGTAAGATCAAAATTGGGTGTGTATAGTAAAAGTAGGTAATAAAATCTTAGATGGTCCTAAGGAGAGACGTAAAGGAGACGCAATAAAGTCATTAAGAGGTGTGAAATGCGAAGCAATTTGGATTCATTTGGTTGTTTATTTGTTTTGGGGTAAGAAATGCGTTGGATCTGTGGAGTACAGATTGCTTCTTCTGTCCCTTTGTGCTTATATATATAGATATTGCCCTCTTCATAATTTCCTTCTATCAAAGTATCAAACCAGTATATTTTTTCCTCTTGCCATAATATATTGTTATTTGATAAATATATCACACAATCATCATCTTATGACTTTAAGTGCAAAGTTGTGGCGAAAATACTTTTCGATGATGTCTTTTATTTTTGGAAAAACTTTAAGCTTTTTGCAATCAAAATACAAAAATTCAATGAAACACTTTATAATTACTCATCCTTTTTTTTAGTGAAATTCCATCAATGCAATCAAAATTACTACGAGATCATTCAATTGAACATTCGTTCGTTTTTATATGACAGTCATTCTTAATTAGTGTAATTAAATATACATGCTTCCTTTGCTCAAACCACAAGATGTGAATGGGTTGAAAGTCATAATGCCCATGGGAACCATTTTCAAATAACAATTCAATGATAAAAAGGGCAAAGGCACCCCTACGCGAAATTCACTAATCCCAAAGTTGTGGTAAAATTATTAACCATTTGTCAACGGCAAACGGTGTTAGAAAGGCAATTTTCCACCACAAATGGCCGTCCATGGTGCCTTTCCAGCCTGGTTCGCCTTAATCAAATAACCCTTAAAGTTGCTCACTCATCCATCATCCTCCACCATAGGCTCCACCACCAAAGAATAGTTTTTAAAAATTATATTTTTAGTTCATTTTCTTTTTAGACAATCAAGGTTCTTGAAAGAACATGAAAAGATGTTGGTACCTTGTCTCGCCAACCCATGAACATAAATAAAACATCTTGTTTTTTTCTCTTCATGTTGTTTAACGCGTACATTTTTATTTACTAGCGTTTAGACATATATTTTAAAATATCTCAAAAATGATTAGTATCTCACAGTTAATGTCGCACAAAATAATGCATTCTTAATTTGCATTGAATTAATAAATTGGTCTACATGTATCATCTCATGCCGATTATGCAGAATGCGGTCTTTTAACACTCACTACCTTGTTAGTGGTTTAACAAGGGAGTTAATTGTTTATTCATAATAATATATAACCGCATCAAAAGCATAATAACAACATAGTTAAGAGAGATAGAGCATTAATTACAAAATAAAGGTCAATGCATTGCCATTACTCTTTATTAGAAAACAAAGAGTACTCATAACTGAGAATTCCGTCCACTGCTCGAGTGCTCATAATTGGAGGAAGGTTCTCTTAGAGGGTCAATCAAGATTCAAGAGTAACACAGCTGGAAAATCCCCTAACTTCTCTCGGACATGTTAAAGGGTCATTTTGATGGTCCCCACTTAAATTTGTTTTTCTGAAATTGCTCTCATGGGCTGAGAGCATTGTTCTTAGCCAGTGTGCTTAAGCAATGCATTGTTGAAAAACGTTCAATTTCTTTATGCTTTTTCAATGGCTTTCCTTGTCCAAGGGAATTTCTACCATTTTTGAGATAGTCATAATAATAATGTATACTTGTTTTCACTTTCAAAGAGTTCTTTTTCATGTATTTGCTTGGCGGAAAACGCTCTAAACCACTGCCCAGAGAGTGTGGCCAGGATATTAATGCAAACCAACCTTTCGTTAATCCTAATATTTCCCACTTTGGACGAGATCCGCATCAATAAATTCAGGTAGAAAGAAAAGAATATAGCTTTCCAAACTTGAAGAACATATAAACATGCGTGTAATATACACTTACCCCGCAAGATTTTACTTTATAAAGTTTCATGAATATTCATCATCACATCATGTCAAAACCGAGCCAATTGTGTGCTTCCTTCTCTGGCCTGGGATTATAAGTGATCCACTAATCATCTTAACTTTGTCTTTTGACATTGATGATTAAGAAGTTAATCTACGACATTTGCTAGCTGAAAAGTTCTTCTAAGGTATTTCATCCAGAATCATTCTCATAATGTCGTTATTCATTTTATTTTCATTGTATAAAAGAAGAAGAACATGTTAATTGCACACTTGATGGAGGCAGGGTCCGTGTTGTGTGAAGTTATGCAGGATCGATATTGACCTCAAATATCTAAATCACACACTTTATACAAATAATAGAAAAAAAAGTACATTTTTTTTGCTTCAATGTGAGGATCGATGAGCTTTTGGACCCTAAGTATCAATTAATTAGGTCGATGACTAAGACATTGCTCAAGTAACAACAGATGCCAAGGTGGATGATGAGCACTGGCCAATTGGGGCCTTAATCAACGAAACCAGCCAAATTAAGCTCCTTACCCCCAAATTATTCGTGGACCCTTCATATCATTTCTCCAACTGAATTATCCACTGCACGTTATTCACTTCCCACGTGCCATTTGCACAATGATTCATATATATAAAATGTATTAAGATAACATTTGTTAATATAGACGAATAAAAATTAAATTGATAGTAAAAAATTTGAAAGCATATAGTGACAAATAATGTATTGTTATACTAACATTTATATATTGATAATATATAATAATATTGTAAATAATTTGTTGATATAATATATTATCTTATTAGTACATATTCATTGTGTTTATACCAACAATTCAATATACTAACGGAAGCTAATTTAACATAAAATTATTATTAAATGACGTTTTTATATCAAGAGAAGAGATATAAAAATTTATGTTTTTCTAAAGAGATAGAAAAAAAATAATGTGATGTAAAAAGAAAAATATATATGAGAAAATAAATTTCTAAATATGTTGGTTACGCACTGTCGCATTATATAACTTTCGAGTTTCCTTTCATACATTTGGGGATTCATGTCAAGCTATGTACATAATATAGAGTACTTTATTTTGGTCTTTTTTCTTTGTCAACAAAATATATACTACTAAAAGTAGTACTGTTTAAAGAGATCATGGCCATATGGGGACACTGGATGATGGGCTTTCCAACGAAGAAAGTGGGCCAATGTATACGTTGACAGGGTCAAAATTTCATGGGCTAGATCACATCATGTTGGGAATCCAATAGACGATCAAGAAGAAAAAAACAACCACAATGGTAGTTGACTATTTATAGACACACACACACACACAATGATATACACGTTTTAAAAGTGCAAAATGAATTGGAACAAAATTGATTTAAACTAATTTAAGACTTATATTGAAAGATATCTTCCCTTTCATAATCCATATATGGATATAAGTGTTGGAGATAGTTAGAATTAACAAAATTATGATGAATTGGAAAGTTAATTACACTTAATTAGATCTAGCTAATAGTTAGTTGGATTTTCCCTTGTACATAATTTTATTGTAGGACAACATTTTCACTCATTCAAGAAATTGCATCTCCATTGATTCTCTCGTTTTCCTTTCTCTTTTCTCTCTCTAGTTGTATCATGTTTCTGAACATGATATTATTAAAGTTCTCATGATATTCATCATAAGAAGAATTTTGCTTTGGAAGAACCATCCTCATTTCTTTTTATCAAATTTTTATTCTCAACAAATATGCTGCTTTCTATTATATCTTCTACTTATATATTCTTTCAATGTTATTATGGACCACCGTGTTGTTGGATCAATCATATTATTAATTCGCACCTTCATTTGAACACTAGACGATCCTATTTTGCATGTGAAAGAGTTAATTAGTCGAAGATTCAATTATGGTATGGATATCCTTACAAGGTGCAATAGTAATTTGATTATGTAAGCTCTCTATACTTGATGACTTTGGTTTTACGTTGCAAAATATTATTTAAAAAGTCTTTTAAGTCTTATAAATTGACCAATAATAATAATAATAATACTTTCATAATATATGTTTAATTTATGTAAAAGCATAAATCTATTGATTTATATACAAGTTTGGGCCTATTAAATTATTTGAAAGTAAAATTTTATGACTTATTTAAAAAATCTTGTCGTAAAACAGTCTTTTAAATATATTTGCATGATAGCTAAATTTTTAATAAAGAACAGGTAAGGTCTTGAAAAATAGCTAATTAAATAAATCATAGATTGAAAACTTGAATTTTCATATTAAATTCAACCTTATAAAGCTTAACTCAAATGAATTTATTTATACTGCTAAATAAAAACGATAAACACGCAGAATTGGGTGAATCAGGACATAGTGACATCGATCCACATCCACAGCATAAGCATTGGAGTGGTGTTTGGTGTGTTTCGCATGAAATATGTACACAATAAATGGCACGCAACAAACACCCTCTCTCACTTTGCACCCAATTCACCCTTTAAGAATATATCTTAAACACTTTCTAAACAAACAAGTCACTCACACCTACTCTCGAATACCTTTTCAACTTAAATAGCCATTTGGCTAAACCATCCTTCTCCATGACCATGTCCATATCAAAACTTATAATAAACCATTATATATAATCAACAAACAAAACGGTCAAAACTAAAACCTGCCCCACCATAATAATATTAATTTCAGCCTCTCAATTAACAATAATAATATTAACATTACATTCACTTTTTTTTTGGCTTTTTTTTAAATATTGCAAAATTAAAAATAAATTCTTAATTTATTGATTTTGTTGAAATTATGTATTTCTCTATCTAGAGTGTGTCAATGATTTTGTTAAAATAGCTAACAAAAATATTAAATTTTTTTAAAATAAATTTTACAAAAAAACACAAAATAATCAGATGGTGACATATGTTAGCATCAACATAATTTTGTAATATAATTAACAAAATTAAATGTTATTTTTGTAATACACAATACGAAACTTTCAGGTGGTAATAATATTGAGTAAATTTCATCATAAAAATTATACAACTTATAAAGATTTAACAAATGACATAATTTTAGCTTATTATGCAAATTTACCTTCATTAATTTTAAATGTAATAATAATTTGTATGTAAATTTAAATCAGATTAAATTTATTTAATTAAGATGTAATTTGAAATTTGTATGTAAATAAAAATAAATAAATTAGATATCAATTATGATTACATTAAAATTAAAAAAATAAATTACTAACATAATAAAAAAATATTTTTTATATTTATATATAAATTATTATTAATTTTTTATTAAAAAATTTAAATTAATAACACAATTAGACCATAGAATTTTATTGCACCCTTTTTTAAAAAATTAAAAGTTATTTTATATAGCACAAAAAATATTCATTACATGTATTCTTTAAATAAAAAATCAATAGAATCGCATTCAGTTAATTTTAAGAATTTGAAAAAATCAACAAAATTCTTTTATATATATGGCATGCAACAGCAAGCAACACATATCAAGTTCCGTCCTTTGAATTACTCAACTCAATTACCTCAAAAACTTGAAACAATATTCATACGACGTTCTAAGAACAACAACACACATACATACTATTTTTTCTTACCCTTCACTTTCCTCAAAACACCTAGCCGTCGCCATGGCCTTGCATGTCCATAACTCCTACTTTTTCTACACCGTCATCGTCATGGCCATCTTCTCCGCAACGCCGTCGATGTCTCAGCCGCAAACGGCCAACTCCTGCAACGGAATATTCCTGTCGTACGCCTACACCGGCGGCGCGAAGCTGCCGCCGAACGTGTCGGAGCTGGCGCAGCAACCGTACCGGTTCGAGTCGACGCTGACGGTGCTGAATAACGGGCTACAAGAACTGAAGTCATGGAGAGTGTTCGTAGGGTTTCAGCATAACGAGTGGTTGGTATCTGCGTCGAATGCGGTGCTCGCCGACGGCACGAATTTACCCAGTGCGGTTGGGAACGGCACCATTTTGAGTGGGTCGACGGTGACGAATTTGAAGACGGCGGCGGAGACGGCTGGCGACATGGGGCTGATGGAGGTTTTGGTGGAAATGGTTGGGACCTTGTTCGGGGTGGCGCCACCCTCTGTGCCTTTGCCTTCCACTTTAAACTTGGTCAATGATGGTTTTGTTTGTGGTCAACCCACTCGTCAAGGTATCTTTTTTGCTTCATTCCTATGAGGTAGACCTTCTCATATGTGATTCTTTTGTTTTATGGCTAGTCAATATTAATTACTATTTTTTTAATATATGTTTACATACAATAAAAAAAAAGCTATGTATAGTAAACTTTTAAGTAAAAATATCATAATATTACATAATTTAATACAGTATAAAACTATTTGATGTTATATCTTTAATAAAATATATTATTTATTGACTTTTTATTATATATCTTTTACTTTTGCTAAAAAAACCTAATTAATTTATAACATGTAGTGTTTGGTTGTTTACCTGTAATATGTTGGTGTGAAACTTCATGTGTAAGAATAAAGCTTTTGTGGCTTTAAGAAAATCAGCAACAACATTTTTACTGGATTATATCCTTTTCCACGGTTATTATTATTATTGGGTAAAGTTAGATGCTACTAATCGGGAGTCTTATAAGTAAATTTTACATAGATTTTAACTCTTAATGATGAGTATGAAAAGAGAAAGCATATCGAAAGACGCATTTGGCACTTTTTTATATAGAATAACAGTGTGGTGCCTGTAATTCTTATTTCAGCGTTTATTATATAAAGAAATAATTGGTGTATAATGAAAGATATTAAAATTAAAAGGATAAGAAGGTTATAAACGACTAACGACAACATATAACTTTTTCGTAATCTTAGATTTTCAATATTCGAAAGTCACATTAGTTTTCAATTAATTTAAATTATTTAAATAAAATAGCTGATAATCTTAACCGCATATAAGCAAATGCGTTAATTCTTATAACATGTTTGGTTTTGAAAGTTATTTTACAAGGTTGATCAAGTAGTTATTTGCCTTATTAGCGACATAGTTTTTCTTAAAATGTTGTGTGTAATGTGGTAACGAATACTCGAGTGAGGGAAAAAAATGTCATTTTGGATTTGGACTAAGTGGTGTTCTGAAATGCATACTATTTCATGGCTGATCTTCAGGGAACAATGAGACTCATGTATGTTGCACAAGTGATCCCAATTTCAAAACAAACATAACCACAGAAGAACAGTTCCTACCCCGGCAAAAGGGTGATCTTAGCATCATCTATGATGTGACAAAAACTTACGATTCCAATTACTGGGCAGAGGTTACAATTGCAATCAACAACCCCCTGGGTCGTCTTGACAACTGGAGATTAAGCTGGGATTGGAAAAATGATGAGTTCATATACACAATGAAAGGAGCTTATCCATCTACTGTAGATTCTTCTGAATGTATCTTCGGTTCTCAAGGTGTTTTCTACAAGGATCTTGACTTTTCCAATGTGTTGAACTGTGAAAGAAGACCAAACATAGTTGATCTCCCTCCCACAAGGTTCAATGATTCAGACCTTGGCAAAATCCCATTTTGCTGCAGGAATGGTACAATTTTGCCACCCACAATGGATCCTAGCATGTCAGCATCAAGGTTCCAAATGCAAGTTTACAAAATGCCGCCAAACCTTAACCGTTCTCAGCTTGCACCACCACAAAACTGGGCAATAAAGGGTACCCTTAACCCTAATTACCAATGTGGCATCCCTATAAGAGTGAGTCCTAGTAAATCACCTGACCCAACAGGGTTACCATCAAACATATCAGCAATTTCTACTTGGCAGATTGTGTGCAACATAACAAACACAAAAAAAGCTACAAGCAAGTGTTGTGTCTCATTTTCAGCTTTTTACAATGAATCAGTTATTCCGTGCAAAACATGTGCATGTGGGTGCCCAAGTAACCCGGAGAGAACCTGTAGTGCTACTTCACCAGCTATGTGGCTTCCACCAGAGGCCCTTCTTGTTCCTTTTGAGAATAGAAGTGAAAAGGCTGTTTCTTGGGCTAAAATCAAGCATTTACCAGTGCCTAATCCTATGCCTTGTGGTGATAACTGTGGTGTGAGCATAAACTGGCATGTGTATACAGATTATCGTAAAGGTTGGACTGCAAGGATCACACTTTTTAACTGGGGTGACACTGATTTTGCTGATTGGTTTGCTGCAGTGCAATTGGACAAAGCTGCAATGGGTTTTGAGGAAATGTATTCATTCAATGGCAGCACCTTACAGAGCGTAAACAACACAATATTCATGCAAGGTAAGAAAGACTTGAATTTTCTTGTAGCTGAAACAAATGGATCTGACCCTAGAAGAGATCCTAGGGTGCCTGGGAAACAGCAATCAGTTATCACATTTACAAAGAAAAAAACTCCGAGAATCAATGTGGCTGGTGGTGATGGGTTTCCTAGTAAAGTGTTCTTCAATGGGGAGGAATGCTCCCTTCCTCTAGTGTTTCCAAGTAGTGGTTTGAGGATGGAGTTTTCCTTGGTTACTATGATGTTCCTAATATTGTTGCCAATCATATTCATGTGGCAATAGTGGCATTGTTTGATTTTGGATGTTTAATTGGCTGTTCTGAGAAAGGATTTATGTAGTTGCATCATCACAAGAAAAACAGAAACATCATGCTTGTATATCCAATTTGAATGTTGCGGTAATCCCTGCTCAACTTGTATGATTCTTTACTTTATTGGTACAGAAGACTGTAAGATTACCTCAGATAAAGATTACTTTTATGTTGCGGCAACTTTTTTTATTGACAGTTCTTTTTTTTTTTTTTCTGTACAGTTGAAATTTATGACTTCTCTTATTACAAGCTTTCTTCTTTGGAGATTGAATTAAAAATAAAAATTAAATAAACAGCCTATAATATAAGTTACGAATAATTTAGTTTTCCTTTAAGAAAGTATTGTTATTTAATTCAACAAATGAAAATAAATAGACTCTCAAGAAGCTATGTTTCTTTAAATAGGTCCATCCGTCTCAACTCAAATTAATATGGACCAAAGTGACTCTAGATACTAAAAGTGTCAAGCAAAAACATTAAGATTTTATTACTCTCTAAACCTTAAAATTTGACCTTTTCTTTAAGGTAGTCTTGCAATTTAGAAATCTATAATTGAATCCCTTGACCTTCTAAAACTTGCTAACAATAATGAAACTCTAAAGAGATGACGGCCTAGCACCGCAATCTAGAGACTACCATAGCCCACAGTTATAATTAGGCTACAAGCTCAGAGCAGGGTCAACCTTGAAACGTGAGTAGTTGTCTTAACCATTATTTAAACCATGATTTGTCATTTTGTAAAACTAGTTGATTCTACTAGACCCAACCTTGTTAGTATTTTAAAACTTTTATAGTTTTTCAAATATAAAGTATCAATTTTTTTTTTTAAAAAAGTAACAAAAATCTACACTCTCTAAGCCATAAAACCCCACCTGAGAACCTAATCAGTTTCATGGGCATGGAGTGTGCACCATAATGAATGGAGAAGAGGATCTACAAGTCTACAACAAAAACATAACTGAACTAGTAATATCCAAGTACAGAAGCAACCAGAAAATAATGGCCAGACTGAATGTTCTGAGCAACCAAATGGAATATTTACATACTTACAGCAGTCATTTACTCTATTTGAAAATCATAAACAGGAAAAAAAAAAATTCATAATTTCTTATTAAAGTTAAAATGCTCCTACAAGTCTGCAGGTGTATCAAAACCTTGCTTCTGCAGTTCTGCCCTAAGCCAATGTCTTCATTTGTGCCTTAACATTAGAAGCTTGTTAGAACCTTTGCAATCAAACGCAGCCAAAAAATTGCAAATATGCCTTTTTGCATACATGCAGTGAAGTTTGTTGTTATTCATCTTGATGGATTACTTAGATGATCTTGAGCATCCAGACTAAATCATAATAACACACTACTCCCTGAAGCCTGAATTTTTTACAACTAAATTCTATTTGTGGAAAAATTTAAATTGAGGCTCAAATTCAGACTAACTAATTGCAGAATGATTAAATTCATACAGAACGCCAACTATTTTGCATTGGCGACCGCAATTATAAAGAGAACTGACAGGATCTGATCTACACTGGAATGTTGTCTAGGGAATATCCATCAAAGTCAAACTCATTTCCAGCTGGTCCAATGCCTTCTTGCTGAGAAACATAGAAGAAATCAATTTGTTTACAAAGGAAAACTATATGAAAGCATACAAATATTCAAGGTATATAGAAAGAAAGGAATTAAGAACCAACCTGTTTCAGAAGTGCACTCATGAGATCCTCCTGAACATATTGCTCAGAGAAGAGGTTATTAATCTGGGAGCTTGGATCAGGAATTTTTTCAGTCTTAACCCTTACTGAGTTGTCAATAATAAGGTTATTGAGGGGTTGACCAAGACTTTGGATATTTCCTTGATGCATGCCTTCACCCATGGAGAACATAGCTTTTCCAATTGAAGTAGTATCTCTATTTTGTCCAGTCTGTTGCATAGAGGAAAAACCCTGATGGACTAAAACTGATGGCGTGACATTAATGTTACCTTGCAAAGGATTTGCATGCTGAGAAGTATCATATGTCATGCCGGGGTTTGTTAAGTCCCAGCCATGGGATTTTTGATGGTGGAGTTCATTAAAAATATCATAACTTGGAACTAATCCACCAGGTCCTTTAATATCTGAGGTACCTTCTTCACGAAACATGCCTTTTGTTGGGATATTGGTCATACCTGGAGTGCTTCTGAGAGGGAAACTATTGACAGACATGTCATTGGTTTGGTTCATTGGGAAACTCAACAATGAAGAGCTTTGTGGAACTGAATTATAAGCAGGAGTTATGTTGCTGGTACCAGCAATCCCATTTCCCAGTACACCATTAGAAATTCCATTTGGCGTTGTAGGCTGCACCAAAGATGATGGAAACCTGGTAACATGTGAACCAGCATTTTCACTTAGCATCTGACCTCTTGGATGAGACTGAACCATCTGCATCAACAAGGGGTTGTTTTGTGCAGCAGAACCGTTGACTCGCATATTCAAGTTGCCAAGGGATTGAGCAGATTGATGCAAATTGGCAAGCTGTTTTGGTTCCATGTTGGTCGGGATTCCATGAAGCAAGTTCATTGGTTTACTGCTGCTCAAATGTTGCAGTTGCCCTTCTCCAAATCTTAATCTTGGGTTCTCAAAACTGAAAAGGTTCTTTTGGTCAGATAGAGGCATGGGCATACCTGTTTTTGCAGTTGACCTGCCAAGTCCTGCGGCTTGAAGCTTGGCTAGACTTTGTGCTGGGAGCTGGCCAGCAACTGAAAGAGTTTGAAGATCAATTCCATTGATTGAAGTTGCCCCAAATGTTGCTTCTTGTGAGCTGATGAAGGAGTTGTTCAAGTTACTCTGCTGCTGGGAAACTCCACTCAGCCTTCGAAGATACAAACGGTATTTCTGTACCAAAACCCATAAGGAAAAAGGGTTAGCTCCTTCAACTAATAGCATCGATGACCACAACAAAGAAAGAAGGATAGATTACATCAGTTTCTGAATCCCTCTCCCAATGTACTACATACAAAAAGTGACATAATAATATCATACCTGGAGGTGGCTAGCAACATTTTCTCTAGTGAGCCCAGGAACATTCATCAATTCCAAAATCTTTTTCGGTACAGCCTCTGTATACGAATACCAAATTTAAAAACATAAGACAAGGCCTTTATACTTAAAATAAATGTCTAATGAATCAGGGAAGAAGATATCATAATAATTCTTCATGCATAAGTATTGTAAATGTTTTGTGGGGGTGGAGAAAACTAATTCCGAGATCAACCAATTTTGTACTGCTAAAGCCACTACAAGATCTCAATTATGTATTAATATTTGTGAACAATAAGGAAAGCCAAGATGGGCTCATCCCAAACCTTGCAATACAACACAAAGAGACAAGTAGTAAAAGTGCTGATTTTATTTTTCACGATTCTTGTATGACAATTCAACGTTAGACATACAGAATCTCGAGGTTTACGTATCAGAAGTACAGTGAGGCGTTGTTTGCTATGTCAGACAAAACAGCATGGAAAAGCAACAGAAACAAAGATGAAAACAACTTTTTGCAAGGACATGGTTAAGAGATACATACTATCAATTCCCAGTTGATTCACAGCAGCCATAAACTGTTGATGGAGTTCGACAGACCAAACAACCCGCGGCTTCTTCAGTGAGGAAGTATCATCCCTCTCCTCTCCTTCCTCTTCCTCATCCCTCCTCTTCCTTGAGCTTTTACCTTCATTTACCGAGGATGAGTAGTCTCCTTCATCAGATCCCTTTTGAGGTCGATCTCCTTCTTCAATGCTACCTGATTGCTCCAGATCTTTCCACCCATTCTTCTTCTTCCGAACGACATGCTGCCATATATTCCTCAAAGCCTCAATACGCACAGGTTTAATTAGGTAATCGCAAGCACCATGTCTCACACCTTTCATTACAACATTTTTTCCATCATCAGCTGACATCACTGTAGAAATCATTCACACAATTTGTCAGTACATATCAATGCAATGCCTCTCAATTGATACAAACTAATCAAAACAATGCTTACTAATAACTGGAAGGTCCATCTCCAACCCAATATGCTCCAAAAGCTTAAATCCATCCATATCCGGCATATGCACATCGCTTAAAACAATATCAAACCCATTTTTGTTTTCTCTCAGAAGTGACAATGCAACCTCTGCTCGCTTGCATTTCGTAACTGAAACATACCCAACAACCAAACAGAATCAAATGACAAATTCCACGAATCAATTAAAAAACTTAAAACGCCCACACACACACACACACACACAAATCTGACATATATTAATCATGCCCAAACTTCACTTTAGAACCGATTCCGAAGGTGTAAAAAAAGGAATTAACAAACAAATCTAGCATCACAAGGCGAAAGGAAATAACATCAATCACTTCATACCATGTTATTTAAAGACACCCAAAGCATAAAAAAGTGAACTTGAAAAGATAAATGGTTGCAAGAATCCGAAATTACAGTAATACTGCATCCTACAACATGTTTCAAGTAAAATCTCCATAACTAGACACAGTTGGTGATTGCCAACTAGTATCTATAACCACATAAACTTTGAAAACCAAGGTAAAGTTGCTTAAATCAGCAAAAACAAGAAGACTCAGAGAGAGAAAGTGATTAACCACCTTCATAGAGACAAGCCCGCAGCATCCTCTCAAGGATCATAAGGCACGTGGGGTCATCATCTACCACCAGAACCCTGAGACCCGCCGGAAACTTGTCGGAGACGGCGTCGCTGGCTTTCAGAGGAGAACTTGAACTGGGCGTTGACATGGATCCCTTGCTGTTGCTGAGATTCATGGTTCAGAAGATCCAAATAGTAGACAGAAAGCACAGACACAACACAGGTTTTTTCACATGGTTGAAACTGGCATCATGGAAGTGAAAAACTGAGTAGTTTATGGAGTTGAGTCGAAGAAACAGAGAAAAGGGTAATGGAATTTCTTTGTTATTTTTATTTTTTGCAACAGATAATATAGTATATGAATGATGAAAATGGTTGTGGGTCTGATCCTGCAGCACAAGTCCTCACTCACTGTTGCAAGCTGATGCTAAGTTTCTTATATATTTTATTATTTAAAATTAATAATTATAAAATGTTAGTGTGTAATTATTTTTGACATTTTGAATATTATATTGGAAGGTTGTGTCTCACTCCTGAAAGAGTGGATCCAGCTCATTGGTTGGATTGGATTAACTAACCCTCCACCTCGGATCTCAAATCCACTTCCAACATTGTCACAATGATTCTCAAGTAGTAAACTCTTGGTTAATGTTTTTTTTTTTTTTCCATCCCGTTACTAATTTAATTATTTATTTTTCTTTCCTCTATTTTTATCTCTATCTAATTCATAACAAAAATACAAATTTTTTTGTTATAAAAATATCATTTCTCCAAACTCTGTGTTTACCCCACCCCACCACACATTGCTGAGAACATTTTCACTCACTAGCTTGGGTTCACTTTTCTTGTTGAAGCTTTTTCCCTGTTTGAATGTATTGTATGCGCGATTTGTGTTGTGTATGTGCTCGTGATTATAGGGAGAACATAAATAGTATAAAATAATTAATATTAAATGGATTATTTTATTAATAATGAACAAAATCTTGGTAATTAATACCTTTAGTATCTTAAATAAAATATATTTAATATGTTTTATTGGATTTTTAAATAAGATTTAAATGATTTTTTTAATTTAACATAATAAATGTTTTATATTAAATAATTTTTGTTTTCTTAATTAATATAAGCATTTGAAACTTTTAAACTTTAAAAATTTAGACAATATGTGTAATCGGATAAGATTGTTTCACTGACTTTTGTGTCTTAATGTAATTAATGCTTTATTTTATTGGATATTTTCTATTTTTGTTTTCCTGATTAGAATAATATTTAAAACTTTCAATTTTTAAAAAATGAAAACAGTTAATTTAACAGATATAAATTTGTTTTAATGGTAATTTGCAAAGAGGTTCACCTTTTAGAAAATGAGGGATTATTTTAGAGAATAGAATGGGGAGTTATTGATGAAAAAAAGTTAATTAAATTTGTGGTTAAATGAATATACATGAATTGTAAGTTAATTTTTCAATCAAAATAGCTGTAATTCTTTATTTATTCTTTCGAGACTAATAGTTAAATTTATTTGAAAATATCTCATCTTGTCTTATGTTAATTGAATAGGTTAGTATATTAATTATAAAGGATAAATAAAATTATTTTATTGACTGAATAACTAATCATTAAAAATGTTAATTTTATTTAAGATAAAAAAAATTATAATGTATAGGTTGCAGTACAAAGAAAACATGTAGTTATGTCAGAATGAAAATACACACATTCTCAAAATTAAGAAGAGAAATTGTCATATAAAAGTGGATTATCTTTTAATTTAAATAATTTAAAACATATTAATAGTTTTTCATTGTTTTAAATATTAAAACCATTAAATTTGGTTGAATTTTTATTTTTATTTTTTATTATTTCATATTTGTATAAGACAACATATAAAGTAAATGTAAAATTTAAAATAGCATTTTATATCATTTTAAAAAAAATTGTAATAATAGATTAACATTTTGAATGCATTAAATATATATTTAAAATAACTTATAAATAACTAATAAAAATAATTGATTACTCTTGATCCAGAGTTAAACCAAAAATTGTGGTAAAACCTTTAAGATAGGACTCTATTAGTAACAAATATACTTGAATTAAAATAAATTAATCTTTATCTAATATAATTATACAATTATATTCTGTAATTTTTGACATACAATAATTTTATTTAAGTATAATAATTTTTACGTATGTAAAATTTTTTTTAATAATAAACTCATCCACCACTCATATCAACTTTTGTTGATTAAGTATTTTATTGTTTAACACTACTTGTACAATAATGTTTTATTTTTAATTACTAGCTAAAATAATTTTGTGAATTTTTTTCTTTATTTTTTAAGTAATTTTTACTTTATCCATTAATTTTCTTAGACTATAGTATTTTTACTAATAAAACATAAACTAATGTAAAAATAAATAATTTAACAACTAATTTTACCAAAATATTTTAATTCAATCGGCTACTTTAAAAGTTTTAAACTGAATTTTCAGTTTTCCGCTAATTTATTAACTCAACTTGGTCAAATACACTAACAAATATCAAAATATTATGTTAGGAATAAAATTAATTAAATATTAATTCTGATATAAGAACAAATAAGGAAATAAGATATGTAATAACAATTATAATTTGAACTACATTGAGGTTATATTAGATGAATGGCCAAAAATTTATTCTTCAGTTAATAAAATTAATTTTTATACAATAAGATTTGAATCATTAAATATAATTTTTAATTAATATATTTTTAAAAATTAATTTAAATCACGTATTTACATTAAAAATGCATTTTATCTATGAAAATGTAAGAATTAATTTTCAAAGGAAAAAAAACAAAAACCAACGGTACTAATGAACTGCAATGGTCGTTACAATGATCAGAAACACGGATGACAAGAAGAATGTTATTAAATTATAATAAATAAATAAATAAATATATAGATATACTTAACATTTTTATAATTTTATTAATGTAAAATTTATGTTACGAGACATTCATATATTATCAATATATTTATTTAATTTTAAATTTAATTATTTTAAAATATAAAATAAGTTTATGATATAAATTTTTTATTAATAATGAATTATTCAATTATTTTATATAAAAGAATAAAAAATATTATTTAGACTTTGTTTGAAAGCTTAAAAAAAGAGAAAAAATTTGATTTAAATAGTAAAGAAAGAGAGAAAGAAAAGTTAATAAAAAATTTAATTAAAGATATTAAAAACATAAGTTTAAAAGAATTTTCTCCCTTTCATTTAAGAATTTTTAAATAAGAATTATTACACATTTTTTTTTCAAAAAAGAAAAAACAAACTCCTAAATAATTTTATAAGCTTTATGATGTTTGCCCCAAATTCTACATGCATTAGCCTAAAGCACAATTTAAGAAGGACAAATTTTAACAAATAAAATAATTTACTAAATTTATTTTATTTTTATCTAAAAATTATTTAGAGTTTTTGTAGATGTAAAAACTACTTAAATAAATTAGAGAAAGTCACCAGAAGTATTGAACTTATTTTTTCTAAAAAAAAGACTTGAAAAAAAGAGGAGGAGAAGGAAGTGTTCCTAAGAATAATTTATAAATCTCATTTCTACATGTTTGTTTCATAATAAAAAAAAAAAACTTATTTTATTATGTGGGTCTTTTAAAGAATTGTATTTGATATAATTTTATGTTACAGCTAGAGAAGTCTAAAATAAAACAAATTAAACACTATTGTAATAGGATAAAGATCATTTTAAGGAGAAATTTTTATCTGCCCTTAGTCAGTTAAAATTATTTATTAAATAATAATTATTTTTAAAATACATCAATTTTAAGATAAGGGTTTTACTTGCTTTAGGGTTAAGCCTACTTTAAGAAGAAAAAAAAACTAGGCATTGAATAACACAATTTCTCATTCTTCGAGCTATAAATCGAGTTCTATTACCCAATTCATTTGATTGATCAATGTTCTCCAATAACATCACAATAACTCTAATTTTAAACTTCATCTCTGCATATATATATATATATATATATATATAGAATCAAAACTCAAATATATACATTCTCTTCACCTAAAATCTGATGCATAAATTCACATTTGCCAAAACTTCCCAGGTGGGAGCCATAATTAAATGCATCCATCCTCAAGTAATATATCATTTTGAATTTGAACTTCTGCTTCACCATCTATACAGTCTCCAATTACATTATCTCCAGTTTTTAATAATCATTCATTAAAGTATTTTATCCCATAATATTCAATATTGTTGGAAAATGCATTAAGTGCCGTGTTTTTAGTTAATTATTTAGTACATAAATCAATTAATATAAACTTAATTTATCTTAACTAATAGTTTCAAATTTGAGTCTTATACATGCAAAGCATTAAATAATATGAAAGAAAACTTTGTTGATCATAAAAGATTTTATTTAACATAAACATTATAATCTCACGTGCAAATATCTATATTATATAAAAATAATAATTATTAGCATAAACAATATTTTATCTAAAATCTTTAAGGATTGTAGATAAAAATTATCCTAATAATCATTCACTAAAATGTTTATTCCATAATGTTGAATGTTATTGAAAAATGCATTAAGTCTCGTGTTTTTAATTAATTACAGAACTTTTATAATAAAATTAAAATATGAAGAATTATCAAACACATAAATTAATTATATAAAATTATTTTATCTTAACTAAATAATAAATTTGAGTTTTAAATATGTAAATATATTCAATACTTTAAAATAAAATTTTATTGATCATTAAATATTTTATTTGACTTGAACATTATTCTTCCTGGTGCAAATACCTATAATATAAAAAATTTAATTGTTGCACAAACAATCTCTTATCTAAAATCACCTCGTAAGACAACAATTACTACCCCAAATAGTTAATTAGAATTAATAATCAAAATATCTGAACACATCTCTCAAACATTTACCAAAATCTTTAAATCAATACTTCCTTAATTACCTGCTACTTCATTCTAGATAATTAACTAGTCTTTATCAGCTACATTGCATGCACACTACCCTTGTTGGATATTACAAAATGGAAAATTATTTCAAACTTTCTAAACCTGAGTTCCATTATGATGGATTTGAATTGAAAGATTAGTAATAACGCAACGTTGGATGTGGGTATTTTGTTGAAAATCATTCGCAGGGAACTATGGCCTGAAGCAGCAACTTGGGTTAATTTTGAAGTAGCTCGAGTCCAAACTAAATGATGAAAGTATGCACTACGTGCAGTGTGCACTCTGACTCTTTTGTTTGTTTCCTGTTTTTCTTTTCTTTTTTTCAATTTGATGAAATTCTGATTTTTAATTGGTTACTGATCTGTGCCCTTCCCCTGAACTAACGCGTGTCCACTGACTCTAGTTGTATCGGATAA